AGGTTCTCTAAATTAGTGTGTCTTCATGCTGTCCTGTCTTCCCCTGGATTGTTCCCAGGTGTGTCTCGTTCTGTGATTACTCCCTGTGTATTTAAACCCACCTGGGTTCTTTGTTCCTTGTCTACAGAGTATTCGTCTGGTCAGGCTGTCTCGCTGCGTTGTCCTTCGTTATTCCAGTTTGCTACCAGTTGTTGAGCCTTAGCCTTCCTCTCTCACTCTGCTGTCTCATCAACATTATAATCATCATTTCATCATCTCTACCTGGGTCCTCAGCGTCTGCCTCATCATCTCACCAACTGCATTTCATGACAGGGATTAATAATTTTGAAACACACTGTACACTATAAAGCTTAAAAATAGAAAGTTAAATTATAAAAAATGGAATATCTTTCTATCCTTTCCCCTGATCTATTTGTTTTGCATTGCAAATAAAAAAAAACTTCCTGGTTGGGAACAGGGATCTGCTACCATTATTTGCATCAGCGTACATTTTACATTTCCTGTTACCAGCAGCTCTAAAAACACCTTATGGAAATTGAATTGATCAAAGAATGAGAATCTGTTTCAATAGTAAGAGAAAGTTTAATTTTTATCTTAAAGTTTCTATAATTGAAGGCGAAAGCGTTCGAAGACCCGTCTCACTGAGCGCAATCGGAAGAGCCCTGAACGCAGCATCATCACATTGTTATAGAGTCACAGCAAAGAAAAGAGCCACCCAAAGTCTGACCTCTGTTGCCAGATGGACCACAGAGACAATCCTGACCTCCACCTCATCATCTGTCCTTCATCTCTTGGAGGGGATGATTTTATGGCAGGAAAGAGAACGGATAAGGATTTCAGGAAAAACTTCTAATTCTGCTTTGTCAGTTATTCCTGGGTTCTGGGTCACACAAGGGTACAAACTACTTTCCACATGTCAGTCCTTCAAGACTATTTCCAGATCAAGCGTTTTTCCCAATATGTCTTCAGGTCTATTATACTATCACAGCTGCAAAAACATCTAAATATTATCTGGAAACTTCTTTAATGGAAAATCACATCTTGCAGAAATACAAAAAAAATAATAAATAAAAAAAATACAGCAGATATAATCAGTAAATAAATGGTAAAAATGCATCAAAGATGAAATAAGGCTAAAAACAAAATTTTCTATTACACACATCAAACACACCCAGTTTTCCATCGAGACTAAAAGTGCCTCAGCTGACAACAGATGATTTAGAGAAGAAGGATCATACGTCTCATCACGTTTGACCCACAGACAGTAAAGAAGACAAAAGTCAGAAAAGGTGAGAGTTTATTTGATAAGAATGTTTAAGCTAATAATCATATTCAGTAATTCATATTCATTGGTCTAGGTTCCATCTGTAGATGAAAACAGATGAATTAGACCTAGAAAGAAAGAATGTTAGAGGTTCCTGTTCATTTGAAATTAATTTTAAACTTTATTTGTTTTTAAATGTCTACAGCCTAGCATATCTTTATTTTTAACTGAGCCTTTAATGTTTGTGGGCCTGGCAGACCTTTGAGGTCATCCTGTTTGCTTGTACCTGTGTAAGGGGTGTGAATACTCTTGAGACACACTGTACACCAAAAGAGATAAAAGTACAATTTTAAATTAATATAACTGTTGACTCACTTTCTAGCCTGTTCCTGATCTACTAGTTTTGCATTGGGGAAAAAATAACTTCCTGGTTGAGAACAAGAGGATTTTATATCAATATTTGCATCTGCGTAGGTTTGATATTTCCAGTTGCTCCAACAACAAGTCAAATAAACCTTTCTCAAACTAGACTAAACACACCTAGACTGCCTTTGAGTTGACAAAGGTTGATTTACCAAAGCTGGATCATAATCTGTCATTTTTGGGCTTTCAGTCCAGATACGCAGTAAAGGAAACAAAATTCAGAAAAGGTAAGAGCTTATTTTATAATATCGTTAATAATTCTGAACTAGAACAGTCAGTATGGTTATGGTGAACTGGTTTAGGAGTTAGAGATGACTCCAGGTAAACATTAACTTAGAATCCTGGTCATACAGGAAGGTTGGTTCATCGGGAGGATATTGATGTTTTGTTTACATAACAGATTTTTATCTTTTAAAACAACCTGCGATTTGGTTAATGATGTTATTTAAAACCTCATTTATTAGAGAACGATGCAGCCTCAAATCTACTGTCGTCTGCATGTAAGTGTGAGGTCAGAGCTGTAGGTCAGTAGGTCTGATGGACTTTTATCTGGTTTTAATAGATAAAAGTCTATTAAAACTTTTGATAGAACTTTTTCATGATACTGGGACTTTAACTTTGTAGTGAATAAAATGTAATATTTTCTAATTTGTTTTATTTGAACTTTTCTAGTACATCTTGTATCTTTACAGACAATTGTATTAATTAAAGCTCTTATTAATCTCAAACAATATAAAATCTAGATAGGTGCCCTTCAGGGACAATTTCTTCAGATAAAAGATTTTACATTTTATCTGAAAAAAGCTGTATCATCGTCCGTCTGTCGGTGTGTTCCTTCCCTCTGCCACCATTTTCCACTAAGTTCACTTCCTGTTTAGTCATAACCCTTCATAATCTCCTGTCCACTCAAAGCCCCACTGCTGCCTCCACCCTCACATGTTACTAATGTACACTTCCCCCAGTCAATCAGGAAACAAGCCAAGAATAAAACTGTTTTTCATTAAAATGTATTTTTAATTGAATACCAAAATGATATCCTTATTATGTGAAAATGTATATATATATATTTATTTATCATCTTATCTTCACCTAGCAGTGGTTCCCAAAGATTTTCTGGGACCCCTATGGATTACAATAAAATCCCCCCAAAAAACCTATAGACATAAACCTATACTCATATTTTGTTTTCAAACTCCACTGAAGTTTATTTCACACTTTAGGTTGCAACAAAACAAACTACAAACCATCTTTACAGTGAAACACTTTTGTGTAACTGATTTTCTTTTTCTCAGTTCTATACTGTAGAAGTTTTCTTTGCTGTCAGTGTTATTTCAGACATATTTCTTTTTTATTTGTGATTATATTCAATTATGCTATCATAAATAGCCTACATACAACAAAAGTCTATGAAACATGGGGTTAAAACATGAACAGCTACCTGAGAGGTTTTTTATTTATTTATTTATTTATTTATTTTTTTATTTATTTATTTTTCATTCATTGCGCCCCCCTACAATGGCACTGCACCCTCCCAAGGGGGCGCACCACACACTTTGGGAACCACTGCCCTATAGTATTTCATAATCTGTTTTTATGGCAAAAAAAGGATTCCTCCAGGTTTGAATATTTTAATGAAACATATTCAAATCGCTTCTCTTCAGACATGTGTGTCTGAAACACAACATTTAATACTGATTCAACAAAAAAGATGAATGATGTTTATCCCTTCTATTAACATCACTAGTGAAAATTGTACTAATGTTATTTCTCTGTCCAGTGGAGGGAGAGCTGCAGCTTTTCACTGTTTAAATGTTCTTCATCCAACAGAGACAAACTGCTGGAGGAAAATAATTCATCTGACAGCAAAGATGCAGTGGAGTCTGATTCTGCTCTTCCTGATGGGTAAGTTGAT